AATGAGGAGTAAAGTTATTGTGTGGCTTGGTTGTTTGAGGGTGAGGAGTAAGGTTCTAGTACAGCGGGGCTTGGTGTTGAGGGTTAAGGTTCTGAGGAGTAAAGTTGAGCAGGGGCAATGAGGAGTAATGTTATTGTGTGACTTGGTGTTGAGGGTTAAGGTTCTAGTACAGCGGGGCAATGAGGAGTAAAGTTATTGTGTGGCTTGGTGTTGAGGGTTAAGGTTCTTGTACAGCGGGGCAATGAGGAGTAAAGTTATTGTGTGGCTTGGTGTTGAGGGTTAAGGTTCTTGTACAGCGAGGCATTGAGGAGTAACGTTATTGTGTGGCTTGGTGTTGAGGGTTAAGGTTCTTGTACAGCGGGGCAATGAGGAGTAATGTTATTGTGTGACTTGGTGTTGAGGGTTAAGGTTCTAGTACAGCGGGGCAATGAGGAGTAAAGTTATTGTGTGGCTTGGTGTTGAGGGTTAGGGTTCTTGCACAGCGAGGCATTGAGGAGTACCGTTATTGTGTGGCTTGGTGTTGAAGGTTAAGGTTCTAGTACAGTGGGGCATTGAGGAATTATTGTGTGACTTGGTGTTGAGGGTTAAGGTTCTTGTACAGCGGGGCAATGAGGAGTAACGTTATCGTGTGACTTGGTGTTGAGGGTTAAGAGTCTAGTACAGCGGGGCATTGAGGAGTAACGTTATTGTGTGACTTGGTGTTGAAAGGTAGATTTCTGCGACAATTTGAATTTTAACAATGGGGTTCTATTGCGATGTGTCATTGAAGGATGAGGTTTTGGTACAGCTTGGCAATGATAGGTTGAGTTTTGGTGTGGTTTGGTGTTGAATGGATTTTTAATGTGGCTCACATTGAAGGATGAGCTTATGATGCAGCTTGGTGTTAAATATGGGCTGTTAAAATACCTTAGAATTTAAGGGTGGCATGAAAAATGGGCACCTATTCATACACGTTTGCTGTTTAAACCATTTTTGGATCAATATCAAATTGTAAAGCCATAGATATTGTAGAAGTTAGATAATTGATCCATACCACATTGAAATCTGTGATCACAGTGGCCTCCATAGCTTACTCTTAGATGACGAATAGCTCACACTCATTTCTTCTGTGTGTTTGAGTTAAGAATATAAAGTAAGCATTTACATGTTCAAGGAGTTTAGTGATATATCAATTCTGACTGCCATTCCCGGCAGGGCTGACGTGGTGAAAGTCATTGACAGCTATCAATATATGGAGGATCATCCAGATCACCCAGAAGTCTTTGCAAGAGAACCGTTTACTGTGCGCTTCCATTCACCAAAGACAGGTAAATGTCAGAATCCCTAGCCTGTAATATGCTGAGACTATGTAACCACTATATCTGTAACACACATTGAGGCATTGGCTGTTTGCTGTCCATTACTGATCTATCAATCACACACAGTGAACGTATTGTCCGCTTCATGCGGTATATTCACAGACAGTGAACGTATTGTCCACTTCATGCATTATATTCACAGACAGTGAACGTATTGTCCACTTCATGCGGTATATTTACAGACAGTGAAAGTATTGTCCACTTCATGCAGTATATTCACAGACAGTGAACGTATTGTCCACTTCATGCGGTATATTTACAGACAGTGAAAGTATTGTCCACTTCATGCAGTATATTCACAGACAGTGAACGTATTGTCCGCTTCATGCGGTATATTCAGACAGTGAAAGTATTGTCCACTTCATGCGGTATATTCACAGACAGTGAACGGATTGTCCGCTTCATGCGGTATATTCACAGACAGTGAACGGATTGTCCCCTTCATGCGGTATATTCACAGACAGTGAACGGATTGTCCGCTTCATGCGGTATATTCACAGACAGTGAACGGATTGTCCGCTTCATGCGGTATATTCACAGACAGTGAACGGATTGTCCCCTTCATGCGGTATATTCACAGACAGTGAACGTATTGTCCGCTTCATGCGGTATATTCACAGACAGTGAACGTATTGTCCCCTTCATGCGGTATATTCACAGACAGTGAACGGATTGTCCGCTTCATGCGGTATATTCACAGACAGTGAACGGATTGTCCGCTTCATGCGGTATATTCAGACAGTGAAAGTATTGTCCGCTTCATGCGGTATATTCACAGACAGTGAACGGATTGTCCGCTTCATGCGGTATATTCACAGACAGTGAACGGATTGTCCGCTTCATGCGGTATATTCACAGACAGTGAACGGATTGTCCGCTTCATGCGGTATATTTACAGACAGTGAATGTATTGTCTGCTTCATGCACTATATTCACAGAATAGCACTTTAATAGGCTCCAACAGACTCAGTGATGGTAACACAGCACCTTCTATTTCTTCTCAAGCAATCAAGGACTTTGTGCTAATATCTCACCACACATGTCCAAGGGACGCAGCCAGGGAGATCAACAAGCTTCTTCTGGTGATGCTGGAAGTGAAGAGTCGCTGGAAGATAGAGGTTGGTACCAGGAAGGAACAGTACCAGTAAAACAATGCAGTGCACAGTTATGGTCAGCAGGTGGTGCTATGTGCTGCATTTATAGCTGTCAGTGGTTTGGTCGGGAAGGGGTGCTGACCAGTGCAGCAAGCTCTATAGCAGTGATGGCGAACCTTTTTGAGCCAGAGTGCCCAACCCCAATACATGCCAGCTTTTTTTTCATCAAAGTGCCAACACGGCAATTAAATCTGAATACTGAGGTTTAAGTTTAGAAAAAATTACTCTTACAGTTGTCCAAACTATCTAACATCTTTTATTTTAAAAGAAGAACACAACAACAGAGAGTTCAATGATACAAATTTTAAATAATTATATAAATAGATACAATGAAGCTTATATTGATTAGTATCTCCAACAAATGCAATACATACATTACACGCACACAGTGTCCGCTGAATACACACACGCAGACACACACACAGACTGCTGAATACACACACACATACTGAATTGAGGAGTGCAGTTGTAACGAACCATTTTGCATACAAGCGGTTAAAAACCGTTTAGGCGATATTCCCCTTTCTCAGCTGCACAGACAGCTACTGCAAGCACCAATCTCCCGAACTGCAAACCCACGAATTCACCAACTCCCGAACTGCAACCAAGGGAATACTTGAAACTCCCGAACTGCATACCAAGTAGCACTCCAAACTCCCGAGCTGGACACACACGAATAGCTGTTAGCAGACGAACAGGAAAAGCCCCCAAGCGGCTTACACTCCTGGCAATCAGTCTCTAACAGCACACAGCAAATCCCCCCAAAGACGAGACGACACTTCGGTTTGAGGGTCAAGCAGAATCTGGTTTACTGGGGCTAACTGCCCTGCTTTTATGCAGGTCTCCCACCTGGTGGACATTCCCCTAGGGGACCAGATGGGAGACTGGGACACAAGGGTTACAAGAACCAATCACAGACTTACACATTTCAACAATCCCACAATGCATCACAATCCCTCCTCTCTGTCCTGGAGATAATTGGGAAGTAATCCAATTATCTCCAAGGACAGAGGCAAAACTCCATTACACACATTTTCAGTAAAAGACATAAAATTACACACAGTTACATTTATTACATAAAACATAGACATTCTACATATCCCCAGATAGCTTAGATCTGAGCACATATTACTACCGAATGACGCTCAGATCACATACATATAGTTCAATCGCCATGGAGCCAAAGTCTTTCACATAGTCTTTTGTTACACGAACAGGCTCCATGGCTTAGCTATCTGGGGTGATGCTGTTCATCCAGTTAAATTACCAAATGAACAGTCATTCGGTTCTGCTACCGAATGGGAAGGTAAGGAGGCTGGCGGCTCAGCGGTGTTCGCGCCAATAAGTGTCCGTTTTCCGTTCCATAGTTTGGGCGCTGAACACTGGCCGTTCGGGAGGTAAAGCGGCCGCTGCCACGTGTTTGGCAACCGAACAAAAACCACCCAGCGTTCATCAATTAACGGCACACTTTAGTTCCCAGGCGGTCCATCATTCGGTAGTTTGTTCGGTAGATGGAATCTACCGAACACCCTGGCAGAAAGGCACGAATAAACCTTTCAGCAGGGAAAATAACAGGTCTGAACTGCAGGGCCATAGTCTACAGGGAGCAGGCGAGCAACCAGGCTTCTCCAGTGCATAGTGGCGAGGTTGGTTCTGCCACAGCAGTGTATGTGTTTGTGTGTGTGTGAGGGCTGCTGGGTGCGGAGGGGTGCTGTGTGGGGGGGGGCTGTGTGTGTGTGTGTGGGGGAGGAGGCTGTGTGAGAGGTAGGGGTGTGCTGTGTGTGTGGGGAGTAGGGTGCTGTGTGTGGGGAGTAGGGGTGTTCTGTTTGGGGAGTAGGGGTGCTTGTGTGTGTGTGGGGGAGTAGGGGTGCTGTGTGTGTGGGGGAGTAGGGGTGCCGTGTGTGTGTGTGGGGGGGGAAGGGGTGCCGTGTGTGTGGGGGAGTAGGGGTGCTGTTTGTATGGGGGAATGGGTGCTGTTTGTGGGGGGTGTAGGGGTGCTGTGTGTGGGGTGGGGGGGAGGTAAAAATACATTTAAAAAGATATATATAAAATCTTTATTCCCCCTTCCCTTCTTCTTACCTTTGGAGAAGAAGGGGGGGACACAGCCATCCCTGGTGGTAAGTATGTGCCTAGCTGCAGCTCTCCTGTCCTCCTACGCGTGTGGAGCATTGCCATGGTTATGCCATCACTGCTCTATAGGGTAGAACTTGGGCCGTCTATAATATGAATAGGACCCTGGGCAAAGCATTTTCTTGGGCCCCCTGGGCCCTGTCTCTGCGCCCCTCTCCCTCCCCCAGACATATTAAAACATTTGCAGATACATACTGACACACACATACACTGACACAAATATATACTGGCAAACATATTGACACATTCAGACATACTGATACACACACAGACACATACATACATACATACACACAGACACATCCACTGACAGGCGTATTGACATACACAGACATACTGACATACACACACACACAGTATGTCTGTGTGTGTATATATCTGTGTGTGTGTGTATGTCAGTATGTCTGTCATACAGACATACACACACATACTGACATACACACACACACACAGACATACATTTAGCCACCCTCCAGGTTCTTACCTTTTTATGGAGGGTGGGAGGCTGAGACAGTTGGGAGTTATCTTGAAGAACTCCCTGCCTTCCTCCTCCCGTGCGGCACTCACTTCCTCCCAGCCGATACAGGAAGGGGCCCGGTTGCGCTGTGTAAGCATCACAGCGCCCTGACCGGGCCCATGCTGACACATGGTCACCGGGTGGCCCCCTTAGTTGGCGGGCCGGGTACATAGGGGCTGCTGAAATTGCGGGGCCCACAGGGCAGCTGCTCTGGGGCCCCACAGGAGCAACTGGGCCCAGGGCAGCTGCCCCGTTTGCCCCGCGCTAAAGACGGCCCTGGGTAGAACCCAGAATGCAAAGAAACCAATATACACTCAAATCAAGGCAAAAAATAAGTGTATTGATATTTAATGAAGGCAGTTAAATAAAATACAAACACACATAACGAAGTATAGCAGAAGGGCCTCTGGAAACAGGACAGGCAGGGCAGGAACACAGGGGAACAGGCAGCTAGCACAGGAACTTAGGATAAAAGGACCAGACCAACAACATTAAAGGGATATTCCAGGCACCCAGACCACTCCTGCCCATTGGAGTGGTCTGGGTGCCAACTGCAATAATTACCTTGCAGGGTTAGGTCCCTTCCGTGTTCATAGAACATGAAAAGTGTTTTAAACAACGCTGGACGTCCTCACACTATGTATGAGGACCTCCAGCGTCGCCGGAATCCCCTTAGGAAAGCATTGTATAATGCTTTTTTTCTATCGGGAGGTCTAACGCAGCCGCGCATGCGCATTAGGTCTCCCCCACCGACGGCCGC